TCTAGGTGGCGATCATAATCCCATTCCGAAATCGTTACGAACACCTTAACCACTGGCTTTACTATGTCCATCCGATGCTGATACGACAACAGTTGGACTACGGTGTTTACGTCATTAACCAGGAAGGAGATGGAGTGTTTAACCGGGCTAAACTGATGAATATAGGATTTGTTGAAGCACTACATGAATACGATTATAAGTGTTTTGTCTTTGCTGATGTAGACCTGGTACCCATAGATGATAGAAACCTCTACAGATGTTCTGAACATCCAAGACATTTGTCAGTGGCTATAGACAAATTTAACTATGTATTACCTTCAGTAACGGCCTTTGGTGGGGTCTCCTTACTGTCAGAGGAGCAGTTCTTGAAGGTCAACGGCTTCTCAAACACTTTCTGGGGCTGGGGTGGTGAGGATGATGATCTCTACAACAGAATCATCTTTCGAGGAATGTCCATATCTCGGCCAAACTCCAACATTGCAAAATACAAGATGATCAAACATCAAAGGGACGTACACAATGAGGTGAATCCAAAGAATGCTATCAAAGCCAAACAAACAGCAAACAATATTGATACTGATGGACTGAATTCCCTAAATTATACTGTCAATGAGATTCTGAAGGACATAATGTACACTTTTATCACTGTGGATGTTCAGGCTCCACCAGGTTAAAGGCCAACACTAGATCCCTGTCTTAATTGAAGTTAAGAAGTTTTAAATTGGAATGGTGACAGACATAGTTTTGTGTTTATATGTATGTGTTTTTAAGAGCAGCAAAAATATGTGATTATACCAATTTGTCCAATTTATTTTAAAAATAAAATATCTTCAGTATACATCTATCATTAATGAAACTGTACAGTATCTGGTCCAGAAAAAGGAGGAAGTATTGTTCGCATTTTTTTTTTTTTTTGAATAGTCAACAAGGACTTATTTTATTCTTCAACATTGTGTTTGCAAGTCTTACAGACAAATTGTGTGTTCAACAAACCTTTTAGTTCTGAACTTCCCTTTCCGCTTTGTCTTTTTCAATAAAGTATTGCAAAAGTTCATCTTTAGGGTGTCTTTTTTCTTTTTTCTTTTTCAT